ACGAAATCACGACGAGAACAAGGAGAAATTCTAGAACCCTTTTCGTTTTATTTGATCCGTGTTTTCCCGAACGACAACAACGGCCGTAAGGGGAACAAAAAAACGGCGACACATCTACGGCTTTCCGAAAAATAGATGCCGTCATCGATCTTCACGATTACAGCGAGTACGGTTTTCACCTTCTGATAGCCCCCGTCCACGACTAGCCAGGCACCCTTGTACTCCGTCTCCGAGCCGTCCGCGTTGTACAACTTGTACTTGAGACTGCTCCACGGCTCCTCGTCTCGGATTCGCCAGATGGACTTGTCGCGTTGGATGATGGTCTTGTCGTTCGCCGATCCTGGATATGACTTGGTCGCTGCGATGATGCGGCCTGCGGTTGATTGTTGTTAATTCTCCAATTAGCCGTGAAATCGAAATCGCTAAATACCAAAAAATAGCAAAAGATCATGACCAGTCGTCACAAAAGTACTGGAGCCATCAGGGAATCCTGAAAGAATACAAGGGCACTTCGCGGTCGCCGCTACGCGCGTAGGTTGTATGGCGATGGCAAGTGTGTGAGGGTAGAGGTTTGGAATGAGAGGAACGACGCACAATGAATGAATTCATGAATTCATGAAAGAGAGTTGCGACGGCGCCGGAGGACAAGAGTATCGAATTACTCTTGAGTGAGAAATTTGATTTTAAGAAACAAGCAACAACAACAACCAAACGGCTTCATCTCTCTCTCTTTCCTCCTCCCACGTGGTACCCACCCTTCAGCGATATGCTCTGCCAGACGGCGTTGGGAGTCAGATGACGGTAGAAGTTCGTGTCTTGGTGTGTTCGTGGGATGCGGAGTGTCCCTGTGTCCGCTCTAATACAATACAATAAACTGCTTCGATCGTGGTTATATCTCGAAAAGGTATTCTGTTTATGTTTTGTTTATTTTTCCTAATGAACTGCTCTAGAGGTGCGGTAGGTAGCCACGAGTTTCTCCGCAAACAAAAAACGATACGAGGTACCTTCCATGAAGAATGCGAACAACAGCAGCAGCGCACTTCATGTTTTTTTCTTTGCTCTCGGGCGGTGTAGTTTTGCACACAGCTGTGCACGACACCAGTCGCTACCCCCCCCCCTTTTCGTCGGGATCGAAAGGGAGGCACTACAGCAGTAAAGCACTTTGTCTCGTGTCATGCGGAGACTTGGTTGCTTGGGAGAATCCGCAAAAAAAGGGCTCTAGTCTCAATAGAGCGCCAGTATCGGAAATGCTGCGATCTCGTGGGCCCTCAGCGGTAGGAAATTCGTTTACACGTCTACACACACGCAAGCCAAGAGGAGGTGCTGCCCGAACAAAACTCACCGGTGTGGTCGCATGTCGCCTCCACGACCACAGTCGGGTAGCCCTCCTTGCCGGTGTTCATGCGAGCCTCCGAAGAGGGTCCGCCTGGCCACCTGAAGTGAGTGCAGTCCGTCGAACCTATCGCCCCCGGATAGCCGCTCTTCCGAAAGACCCGCTCCACCTCCTTCAGCTCGTCTCCAACCGGGAGTTTAACCCACGTGTCCCAGAGCGCCGCCGAAAACTTCTCGCAGAAGTGGTGGAATGATTTCTCGGCGGTCGCGACGCTCATCCCAGAGAAGGTGGCGGCGTCCTGGAAGGTATTTCTCGATGCTAAAACCTTCAGGGCCGCGCAAACCTGTCGCCGCAGCAGCAGCGACGAACAGGAGGCGGGCGTGTACGGCGGAGCAGCAAAAATATATAGACATGTGTCGGTATGAAAATAAGGTGGNCACTCGCATTCCCGGCAGCACGGTAAAGAACAACAGCACGAGCCGATTGCAAGCCAGACGGCCTTCCGTACGGCAGTATGTAGTACAGCTCGCAGCCCTTGCAATAATCTTTTGGTGCGACTGCTGCGTGCTGCGCGAGGAGCAGTACAAGGGCATGTCAACGCAAAAAAATGCAACACAGCACCACTGCTGCTACGATGGAGCGGGAAAGTCGACAAGTCTGGTACTCGCACCTGGGCAATACTACCGTAAATGACAGAAGATACCACATCTCCTGGACCGATTTTCAAAGCTCGGATTACTCCACGGCCAAGAGGATGCATGAAGGAAACGATGCATTTTCGGAAAGCTCTCGGCGAGAGTCTCCGCGAGAGGGCTCTACGGCGCCGTTTTCGGTGCTGACTCCTTTTGCAGTTGAGA